TAAATGTCTTATGTCCTTTGCCCTAATGGAGGGCTACTGTAATACAAACTGTTTCTCTATGTAGTTTGAGGCAGCATTGCTTTTCCAGAGATTTATTTATACATTTTGTTCACTGTGATCAATATATTTAAATCCATGCGTTAAAAAAATATAAAGCAAATGTATTGGGCAAGAGACTTTAAAAGTCATTCATGAAGTAGTGTAATTAAATGCCAACCAGGGCCAGGGATCAAACCTGCAACCCAGGTACATGCCCTTAACTGGGAATTGAACCCTTGACCCTTTGGTCCTCAGGCTGATGCTCTAACCACAGAGCCAAATTAACCAGGGCTCTGACTGTTATATTTTAATAAAATTTGCTAAACAGAATCAATTGCAGACCACAATTTTCCATTTGACCATTGTCTAAAAGGGTAGTTGGGGGTGTAAATATGTACTCTTGTCCTAATTCTGTGTCATTTTAAAACATTATTGTTACTGTCCTTGGTATTTGATTGAATTTTCTGTTTTGTAGTAAGATATGTCTGAAAAGTCATCACGGTTTCAGAAAAAGTTTGGTTCTGAGGGCTAGATGATCTTCATTTGCTTTTAGAATTTCTCTAAAGGCACATATAAAACTCTCCCACAACTTTTACAGTGTTTTCTCTGTATGTATTATTGTCTCGGCTGTTATAATTCCCTTTTGCCTTAGATTGAGTTGTGAGATTCTAAACTTGTACTTTCCCCCCATCTTATTTGGTTTGGTATGTAATTTGCATATTTTCACCATGCGAAAGCTATTTTCTATGGTTGGAAAAGATTTTTTTCCTACAGTGTGAACAAATCATTCTTTGTTCTCCTTATTGTGCCTCCAAACTGGTACGTCCGGTTTATGGTCCAAACAACAAAAGTCTGTCATCAGAAATTAAAATGCCAGTAAGAACAAAGGCAGAGACCCATGAGGAGCTATTGGAGAAGTTTCCTTCTCTCCCCAAGTGACTGCAGTTGCCAGGAAGGTGGAACATTGCTTGGTACACTCCTTCCTTGTACTTCTGCCCTTGCATTTATTACTATTGTTGGATTAAAAGTGAATTTACAGCTCCTGGTAATTCTATTCAGGATCTATAAAGTCCTCATCTCTGAGATTCTTTGCCACTTTCAATGAGCTCTTTTTAAGAAAACTAAAAATCACTTTGAAAGCTTTTAATAAATGTAATCAGTTTTGACACTTATTTATTTGAGAGCAAAATTACAAGTGAACATACTGTATAAAATATTAGAGGCAATTGAAAATGGCAGCTAAAGCAGAGCCTGTAAGGATATGTATCCTTTCTAAAGTGTGTCCATCCCTGTGTACACTTCCTTAGTACAGTCTCTGTTCTGAAATAGTAGTACAGTATAGAATTTACACATACTAGAGCGTTTTCTCCTCTGGGAAGTTTGATGTTTGTGGTTCACTTAGGATACTTTAGAATTATGCTTGTAACAATTCTGATTTTTAACATATTCACAACTATCTATAAATAGTGGCAATGTTTCTTTCATTCTTCCCTTATGTTGTAATTGTTAGCTTCTAGGACCTTAACTTAGAGTCAGTAAAAGATAGGTAATGAATGGGAGGAAGCCTTTTATAATCAGTCCTCATGTTTTTTTGTTTGTTCATTTTGTTTTAGGCTCTTCTTTTAATTAATTTATTTTTGTTGCAGATGTGTCTCTGTTATCCCTCACTGACACCCTCCTTCCTGCTCCCATCCCCCCTTCACACTGTTGTTGTCTATGTACATTGGTTATGCATATATGCGTATAAGTTCTTTGTTTTTTTCTACCTGTTGCTGTACATTTAAAGAGGGATTTAGAGTAGAAGCTGGCATTTACGTTTGTTTTGAAAGGCATTACTCTGAAAAACGTGTTCAGATTTCAAAATGTTCTTTTATATCAAAGTAAACTCTTGTGTATTAATTCAGTGATAATAACCGTTTATTATATTGTGAGTATGCCAAGACAGATTGGTTTTATTCTATACTGTTTAGTGTAATTTAGTACAGCAGCTCAGTTAAATATGATTAATTCTGTTAAACTTTAGAGCTTTATTTGATAGAACCAAAAGTTAAGTGGTAGACCAGTGGTACATGGAAATAATAGTATAGAGCAGATTTTGTGTTAGAATACTATGATTTGTTATGAGTATAAACTTTATTTGTGACAGTGAGAAGTGTTTTTCATTGCTCTAATTATAGTTTCAGTGCAAGTTCTATTTTTTATTTCCTTGTTAATAAAATAGTATTTGTGTTAAAGAAGAATATTATTCATTTTCCAACAGACAATTTATTTTCAAACAGTAAATGACTTGACAACTTTGGTGGAGAAAGCCAATGATGCACCCATTCTGTAATTGGGTTACATTAGTGATATGCCTTTCAGTGAAAGTGTGCTTAAAATCAGAGATGGTGATTTTTATATTTCAGAGAATGTGTAATTGTTGCTTTGGGTGCCGAAAAAAATGACTTTTAAAGGCTTTTTCTAAATTTCATTCTATAATAATAAAATGTGGACTTAAGAGCTGCAGTATATAATGGCCATGGTTTTCATTTTCAGAATTAATATTCACAAAGGAATTTGTAGAGGGGAAAATTCTTATAATTTGCTAAGCTAAGTTTTGTAGCCTTTGTGTTTAATTGGTGATAGGTGGTGCTATTATTACATAGTTAGTCCAAAGGGCCCAGCATTCCTCTATCTCTGCATCTCAGGTGCTATTAGAGGGATTTGTCATTGTGGCCAATGAATAAGTTGTAATACTTTTTATAAGCAAAATGAATATGATGGCTCTTTAGGCATTACCATAATTTAACATTTATAAGAAACAAAAATATTTATAGGTTGCTGCACTTAAATTCTGATAGAAGATGAAGATCTAAAAAAGTAGTTAATCTAAAAGGCAGCTCTACAGATTTATAGTTTAATATTGGAAGATTTATAAGCCTTTTATTTTATAATGTATACACTGTTGATATTTTAAACTGCTTGTCTGGCAGGCCTGTGTAAAAAAAGACCAGCAGCATGTTTCCTCTACTGAATGTTTATCATTGTTATATCTGTTTAAAGTTCTTGAGTATTTGGAACTAATTGTATAATGTTTGCCATTTTCCCTATCTGATATTACATATTCCATCAAACACTTGACAATTATGAAAATGTACTGGGGGAAAAAATGAAAATGTATTGGGAACTACATTACCACTTAAAGTAGTTTGTAAAGCCTTTTTTAACTAACTTCAAATTTAACCTACTCAGTATTTCAGTTAACCGCAAACTTTTCTCTTGAATTACTAATCTTGAAAAAGAGTTCTTTTTTTCCCCACACTTGACACACATACTAGCATATCCCTTTACCTTTGGATACATAGATTCCTGTACTCTTTGCATCTGAGGAATAAATCTGATAGACTCAAAATGAGTGGTCATTCATATAGTGTTATGTTGTAAGATGAAGATGATGACATTTAATGATGCTTACATATTTTTATATTCATATAATATAGAAATTAAAAGTATCTTTGCCTTTTAGCACTTTAAAAAAATTATTTTTTCTTTATTTTTAGAGGGAGAGGGAGAGGGAGAGAAAGATAGAAACATTGATGAGAGAGAACATCAATTGGCCACCTCCTGCATGCCCCCCACTGGGGGTTTGGCCCACAACCTGGGCATGTGCCTTGACTGGAATCGAACCAGAGACCTTTTGGTGCATGGGTGGATGCTCAACCACTGAGCCACACTGGCTGGGCTTTTTTTTTTAAAAACAACTCCTTTTTTTTTAAAATTCTCACTTGAGGACATATTCTTACATTTTTTGTTCAGATAGAGTGAAAGGAAGGGAGGCAGAAAGAGAGAGAGAGAGAGAGAGAGAGAGACAGACAGACAGACAGACAGACAGACATCGACGTGAAAGGGACACATCGAGTGGCTGCCACCCGCACGACCAACCAGGGCCGGGGACAAACTGCAACCGAGGTACATGCCCTTAGCGGGAACTAAACCTGGGTCTCTCTGGACGGCAGGCCAACGCTCCAACCGCTGAGCCAAACCAGCCAGGGCTGGGCTGTCTTAACACTTTTATCTCCTCAGTTTATAAATGCAAAAGAATAAGCTTATCGGAGGTGGGGGAAATGGGGAAATGTTGGTCAAAGGGTCCAAAGTTGTAGTCATGTAATATGAATAAGTCCAGAGATCTAATGTTAAATTGTGGCATGATGACTGTAGTTAACAATACTGTATTGAATACTGAAAAAATGCTAAGAAGTAGATTGCAGGTACCCTCATCATACAATAAAGGTAACTCTGAGGAGATGACAGCAATAATCATTTTACTGTGTATATCAAGCCATCTCATTGTATAGCTTGAATATATACCATTCTTATTAAAAATATGTTTTAGAAAGATAAAATGAATATAAAAAGTGTCTATAGAGGTTAAATGATTTATTCAAGGCGATTAACAGCTAGTTTAGTTGCAGAACCACGTCCAGTGACTCATTGACATTTCACGTCAGTATTCTTTGCAAAATATTTTGCTTTTTCTCTTTTACAACATATTTGTGAAATTTACTATAACATTTAATGTCTTCTTTTAAAAATAACTAAGACTATTTATCTTCTTTTTACATGGAAAACTGAATACTAATAAATTACACTTGCTTTGCTTTAAAATGGAAGGCAGTCATGCAGGAACTGAGCTGACTTATAGTAGTTTATTAAAGATAAAAATTATAGACTTCTAGAGCAGACCAATTTATTCTCCTATTCATATTAAGTGCACGCTCTTACAGTTTTCTAAAAATACTAATGATAACTTAAGATATGAATATATTTATTGTGTATGATTAACCATAGATGTATATGAATGTGTGTGTATTTTACATTTGAGACAATAAATTATGATAACATTTAGGAGATCTCGTTTTCAGATATTAATGTTCTGACCTGTGTTTTCATTTACCGAAATTTTTTTCTGTCTTCTCTTGCAGATCAGTGGGGAAGCACAGGAACTCTTTTCTGTTCGACATGGCCCAATCCGAGCAGCCAGAATCTTGCCTGCTCCACAGTTTGGTGAGTGTAGCCCTTAAGAAGAAACAAATCATTCAGAAAGTTTCTCTTTTATTGGTCTTGGACTACAGACAGCAAGAATGATAACTAAAGTCTGTTTTCTCCCAAGTGTCTTTACCCTTCTTCTCCTCCCCCTAAGATAAACTCAGTCCTGTCAGTTGAAATGGAAATAGGTAATCTTAACCAATTCAATATGGCCATTCACTTTCTGCTGTGTTTTTGATTTATCTTCATCCTCTTTGATCTTGATTTAGCCTCTCACTTGGCTGGCTCTTTCTTGAAGCCTCTTCTCTCCTGGTTTTCATGGCATCGCTCTTCTCAGGTCCCTTCCTTGCTGACTGTGCTGCTTTTGTTATGTTTCTGGTTTAGCTTTCTTCTCTGGGTAGTCCCCAAGTCTCTGTTCTTGTCTTTGCTCTTCTTCCCAGTTACACTTACTGCCTTGGGGAGCTTGGTTTTTCATCATTATCTTGATTCTAGATGAGTCCGCTCTCTGTATTTCTAGCTATGTCAGAAGTAGTTACTTGCTTTGGACCTTGGATCTCTGCTTTAATAATGAATACTTCTTAATGTTGTACTTAAACATCCTGTTTCATTTTTGTTTTTTAAAAAATCAAGTACATTTTAAAATTAAATGTGCTACTTGGGTGCCTAAGTAACTACTGACTTTTTATTAATCTGAGCTTTCTAAAGGTTGCGTTTTCTCATTCACTTGTCTGTGTTCACTCAATATTTTCACGTGTGCACTAAAAACAATCCTATTAATATTATTTGCATACTTTAAAATCTTTGTAAAAAGAGGATATTAAAATATTTGAATTCTATACTGTTTTTAAAGTTTATCGAGAAGTTGGGAAATCTTCCTTATAATACTTCGTTAAGCAGTAAATTCTCTAAATCGATGAGAATGATTTTTATTAAAACTACTGTGTACATAAATACTGTTAGGGATTAATGTAATGATTAAATCTGCTTAATTGAAATGGGAAGGGTGGAGGTAGTAAGGCAACAGTATCCTGCAGTCGAGTGGAGGATTTTCTCTCCTTGTTATTGAACTGTGTCACACACACAGATTCAGCTGTTTTTCCCTCCTTCTCTCCTTTGCACTGACACTGTCTTGCTCCATTTTCTGTTGTAGTTATGTTTTGGTGAAATCTTTTGGGAAAGATGAGTGTAGAACATTATTTTTTGGAAAGTTTTTTGGAATAGTCAGCTTTTGCTTTGGATGGTTAGAATCAAGAACTTTAAAGGACTGTGCTACGTCTTTGTTTCTTTTGTATGTAATTGACAGGCAGATTTCTTCCCCTTCATTTCATTTATGAAGATTTTTTGTTTATGTCAATTATTAATGTTCAACTTTTCTCAACTTTTGATTTGGGCAGATACTTCATGAGCGAGTATAAAGCTATAACAATACTGCTAGTAGTATTTGAGTATGTTTAATTTATTTTGTCTAAAAAAGATTCCTCCATCTTCTATAATATGCTTTAAAAATATTAGATTTAAAATATAATTTCACATAGCTAAATATTCTGTTATTACTTGCAAAAATTACATCTCATTTATTTTATTTGCTTAGTTTTCTTAGATTTGTTTTTATTAATGTTATATATGCAAACGATCACATAAAATTTGTAATGGAAAAACGAGTACTCCTTCCCTCTCTTGTCCATTTTGCTTTATGTGCTCATTTTGATGGAATAAGTCCTTAAGAAGTTTCCTGAAAAAGGATGTGTGGTAGATCTTGTGTGTCTGAAGATGTCTTTATTCTTACATATTCTTGATTTATAATTTGTCTAGGTAACAAATACTTGATTGTAGCATGGCTCGTTGGTTGAGCATTGACTCATGTACCAAGAGGCTGCCGATTCGATTCCCGGTCAGGGCACATGCCCATGTTGTGGGCCTGATCCCCAGTGGGGGGCTTGCAGGAGGCGGCCAGTTGATGTTCTCTCTCATCGATGTTTCTTTCCATTTCTCTCTCCCTCTCCTTTCCTTTCTCTAAAATCAATTAAGAAAAAAAAATCAATAAAGAAAAAAATATTAAAACAAAAACAAAAAAACAAATACTTGATTGTAAATAATGTTACTTCAGAATTTTGAAGGTATTGGTCTAGTACTGTGGTTGAAAAGTCTGAAGCCATTTTGATACCATTTTCTTTGTATATGGCTTGTTTTTCTCTCTGGCATCCAGTAGAATGTTGGCTTTTTTCTGAGTGTTCTGAAAAATTGCAGTTTTGTTTCGGGGACCCCTCAATGTGGAAATACAGATACTATACATAATTTTTAAAAAATTCTCACCCGAGGAAATTATTCTATTTATCTTTAGATGGAGTGGGAGGGAGAGAAAGGGAGAGAGAGAGAAACATCGATGTGAGAGGGACACATCGACTGATTGTGTCCTGCATGACCTCCACCAGGGCCGACCAGGGCCAGGACGAACCGCACCCGAGGTACGAGGTACGAGGTACGTGGTACGTGCCCATGGCTGGAATTGAGCCCGCCACTCATTGATCCTCGCCCGATGCTCTACTGCTGAGCCAAACCGGCCAGAGCAGTACTGTACATAATTTTGAGAAAATTTCTTCTATTGTTTTTTTGATAATTTTTTCTAAGGTTTTTTTTTGGTCCTCTCTTTCTTGTACTTGTATTATTTGTCTGTTATACCCCCTAGACTGAATAATTAAAAATTAATTTGTTTCCTGTTCTTTAGGGGACATTGTCTCAATGTGTATTACTAACTCGTCTATTAAATAATTCTATTCTGCTGTCATGTCTTTTTTTTTTTTTGTAATTTTTGTATCTGCACCTTTCACACCCAACACTTCCCTCCCTTTTTACTTCCTTTTCTCTCTTTCCTTCCTTCTTTTTCTTTCTTGGTGTAATTTACATATAAATATTACCAAATAGAAATACTTCAGGACCAAATAACAGATATTCTGGGACTACAACATTGGATAACATTTGCAAATCAATCACTTTGATTTACCATATCAATAGAATGAAGGAGAAAACCCATGTGATCATCTCAATAGAAGTGGAAATCACCATTGACAAAATTTAGTAGCCATTTATGACAAAAAAAAGAAAACTTTTAGCAAATTAGGAATATAAAGAAACATCATCAGTATGATAAAGACTATCTATAAAAAAATATAAAGCCATCATCATACTCAATAGTGATATATTAAATACTTTACTGCTGGTTTTGGCCAATTTGGCCCAGCGGTTGCAACGTAGTCCCTCAAACCAGAGAGTTGCGGGTTCCATGCCAGACAAGGGCACATGCCTCGGTTTTGGTTCAATCTTGGCCCTGGTTGGGGTCATGCGGGAGGCAGCCAATTGATGTGTCTCTTTCACATCTATGTTTTTCTCTCCCTCTCCCTCATTCCTCTCTTCCTCTCTCCTACTCTATATGAAAATTGATGGAAAAATATCCTTGGGTGAGCATTTAAAAACAAAACAAAAAACAAACCATAAGATTTAACCCACCTCTTTCTACTGGTGTACAAATGCCAAGTATTTTCTGAAGCTTGTAATCTGTAAACAATTCAGCTATGCAGTCAAAAATACTAATTGTTGCTGGTTTTTAATGATGTGAATGCTGAAATTATTTTTCTAGAAACAAACATGAGTAGAACGACTTTAGAGTTGTTAGTTAAACTTTTTCTCATTTGCTTATTTTTTGTCAAATTTCAAATAGGTCTCAAGTTTTCATTACGGTTCTTATGGTACAACCACCTGTTTCATCCTTTCAAACAACTTTAAGTGTGGTTTTTAACATGTTCAAGCCAGAGCTGTTTGATTTGTTCAATTGTAAGAAATCAGAAATTTTTATTAACTTCTCCAGAAGGTTTGTTGTAAATATTATTTTCCTGTAAAATTTTAATGACCATGGTTAGACAAATAAATCCTATACACACACACACACACACACACACACACAGAGTCTGTTCAGCCAAAATACTAGCAACCTTTCAAAAATAGGCACCCCCCCCCACACACACAGTCTCCTCAGCCAAAATACTAGCAACCTTCCAAAAGTAGGCCAACTGACATTTGCTTACAGTCATCACCAGCATCTTGCAAAGAGGGAACCAACAGGCTTACCCACATTTTAAATGACCAAACTATGAGATTTAGTCTTTTGTAATGTTTTCTGCCCTAATAACTTCCCAGTTTGCCTTCTGTATTTTTTTTTATCCTCACCCGAGGACATTTTTTCATTTTTGTTCAGGTAGAATGGGACGGAGAGAGAGGAAGAGAGAGAGAGAGGACATGAAAGGGACACATCGAGTGGCTGCCTCTCGCATGACCCCAGCCGGGTCTGGGGACAAACTGCAACCAAGGTACATGGCCTTAGCGGGAACCGAACCCGGGTCTCTCTGGACTGCAGGCCGATGCTCTAACTGCTGAGCCAAACCACCCAGGGCTGCCTTCTGTATTTTTTTCATAACACTTAGTCTTTATCATCGGGGCCTTTATTACTTGGTATAATTTAGGTTTTTACAAAATTTGGCTAAGCCTGTGACTTAGATAAATTATAACTGGGGAACATATGTTCTGTTCATCTCTTTTTGTTTGTTTTAGTGTCAGATTTTTATTATCAGAGTCATTCTGAAGATACAAAGCTTCTTTTTTTATTTATTTAATTTTATTTATTTTTAATCCTTATCTGAGGACATTTTTTGATATTTTGTTCAGATAGAATGTGGGGGGGAACATCGACGTGAAAGGGACACATCGAGTGGCTGCCACCCACACGGCCCAACCAGGACCAGGGACAAACTGCAACCGAAGTATGTGCCCTTAGCGGGAAATGAACCCGGGTCTCTCTTGACCGCTGGCTGACGCTCTAACCGCTGAGCCAAACCGACCAGGGCCAAAGCTTTTTTTTTTTTAAATCCTAACCTGAAGATACAATTTCTGTTGATTTTTTTTATTTTTTATTTTTTTTTTAGAGAGATTGGAAGGGAGGGACGGAGGGGGGGAGAGAGAGAAAGAGA